ACTAAACTGAAAATACGGACAGACTTTGAATCCAGGGGGATTTTGTTCGAATATCAGGCGAATATCAAACGTTCGGCTAAATTTACCTCGGTGTCACAAAGTGCCACTGAGCACAACCATTCATTTAAATAGGGCGCCATCTTGGATCGCCGGGGCTTGGCGCCAATAGACAGTAGCGGTAGATGCGGCGTCTACTCTTTATATGTCTATGGTTCTGAAGGCACTGAGCTTCTGTCTGCTCTTCATAGTTACTAGTGATGGCAATATGAAGCCCCATGAAGCCTTGAGGGATCGCAGCCTATTACTCGGCCCATGAGTCGAAGGCTCAAGGTGAATCATGCTCCACTACGCCATCATGTGGACAAAGAAATACATAACACTCTTAAGTGCTTACAATGAATGGTGAGATCTAATGTTAAAATGTATATTTACAATCTATGGTCTAACGTGTTGTGTTTGAAATGATGCTTCATGAACTATGAACTATTTGAGTCTTTCAGTCAATTGTGTTGATACAACAAACACATCCAAAGTAATACAATACAGAAAGTGATTAATGGAGGAAAAACTACCAAGAGGTGGATTAATTAAACACAACAAACCATTTATTCCCAATAAATAAATACATTTACTTTGCAACACAAAATTTATTATGGGTAGACCAGGATTCGAACGCTATATCTTCTGCTTCGGAGTCCGTCATATACCGACTGCGCCACACAGCTGTTATGAAATGTATTATCCAGCGTATTATTACTAATAACTTGAAGCCTTGATATATGAGGTTTTACTAAAGTGAAAAGTTTTTAATTGTATTTCATATGAAGTAGTTTCTCTATACTTAGTACAGGACTGCTCCACATCACGCACACACACGTACGCACACAGAGGCAGACGGGGACAGCCAATACAGTCTATGGTACAGCAGCGGATCACAAAGCACCTGTCAAAGCAATGCACTCTCCGAACGATATGAAGCACTATATGAACCGTCACGTGGTGCGGCCGCTACGCGAGGCTTCGAACGTCATAGTAAGTAGTAAGTTTTTATTTATATACCGCCTTTTCACTGCAGATCTGAGTCTCAAAGCGGTTTACAATTGTTAATTTTGGGCATTTGTCTCTCACTCCACACAGAGATGGGAGCGGGGTCGCCAGTACAGGAGGCGCATGCCAGAACTATTGGACATATTTTTAGTGGTAGGGGAAACCAGAGTACCCGGAGGAAACCTACGCAGACACGGGGAGAACATGCAAACTCCACTCAGAAAGGCCCTGGTCCGACCGGGATTCGAACCCAGGACCTTCTTGCTGAGAGGCGAGAGTGCTATCCACTCAGCCACCGTGCCGCCCGTCATCACACACGTGACCAATACACGCCTCGACCCACACTTCACAAGAAACGCCCCCAGATTACTCGGTCCACGCTTCGAAGACTCGGTCCGCTCAGCACATCACTAATAGTTACACATTTGTTTTAATTATCAACATTTCTTGTCCTCGAGAGATACTTCGTCTTGGACTCGGTGCTACACAGTTGTTTATACAATAAAAACACAAATATTCGAGAATAAAAGACAACAATATAAACACGAAGTGAACGTTAAAGTTAACATTGAACAGACGGTAAAAGATGCTAGCGGCCTGTGGCTAATGCTAACGCTAACAGCACTAGCATAACACACACTCACCGATCGCACGGAGCAGGAGCAGCTGCGGTGGTAGAAGGAGCTCTACACGGGGATCATGCAGATGTTCCCTCTGCTCCAATCAGCTGCTGACTTTATGAAGCACAAAGATCAAAGATCGTTGTTAAGGACAGATGCTCTCACGTTGGTATCTTTAGCCTCTTGTCTGGGAATATTGTTGAACAACTTGGCAGCACAGGGAGCATGAGCCATAGAGGAAGTTAGCGATAGAACAACATGACTACATCCTGTAGCGCCTTCAAAATAAGAGCTTCTGTTAGACAGGGAGTAAGAGCGATATAATATAATATTATTTAACACCCCACTCGCTGTTAGCTCACTGGGTAAAACAATACATGCATTTACATACATTTTTACATGCGAAACATTTTCTTTGGAAAAACTTTTAGCTTTTGTCAAAAGATCCGCTATCATTTTATCAGTAGGACAATATTCCAAAACCACCTTCCCTGTGGTTACAACACCTATGAGGAAATTATCTTTCACGTCATGTGCTTGCATCTTTGTCTGTTAACAGGATTCTTTGTGAGTGTTATTGTTCCTTAGTTGTCTTCATACTGTTGTAAGTAATAGTAGTAAGTAATCTTTATTTATATACCGCCTTTTCACTGCAGATCTGAGTCTCAAAGCGGTTTACAATTGTTAATTTTTGGGCATTTGTCTCTCACTCCACACAGAGATGGGAGCGGGGTCGCCAGTACAGGAGGCGCATGCCAGAACTATTGGACATATTTTTAGTGGTAGGGGAAACCGGAGTACCCGGAGGAAACCTACGCAGGCACGGGGAGAACATGCAAACTCCACTCAGAAAGGCCCTGGTCCGACTGGGATTCGAACCCAGGACCTTCTTGCTGAGAGGCGAGAGTGCTATCCACTCAGCCACCGTGCCGTTGTGAGATCTGCCTATCTCACAAGTGCAGTAGCTTTGTGAGTAGTGTGTGTTGTGTGTGTGTGTGGGAGCGCGCAAAGTTCTGTGGGTGTAGATGCAAACAGGAATGGAGTAAAGTGCGATCATTAAAGTGATTGTCTGGAGTTTGTCAGAAAGAGCGACAGAGAGGTACTTGATTTGAAAAAAACGACGCAAGCTCCCTCCCCCTTCCTTTCTGATTGGTCTACACCTACGTTTCCGTAACACTTTGAAATGTTAATCAGAGAACATATTATACATATACATTATCAATATACATGCACGGAGGTTTCAGAATTATTTGTGAACGTTTTAATGAAAAAAAATATGTTTTTATGCACACAAAAAAGCGATCGCGGCAAACCAGGAAGTGCTATTATCATGAATTGCACATTATAGGACACATCTGCAGAGGATCTGATTATGGATATAGGTTCAGTATATACATAAGTACCTCAGCGTGGATGTTCAGAATTCTTTGTTCAGTTTTCATGTAGTTCCAGAGCCTAATAGAGGCTCCGCGAAAACAAACAACTGCGCATGCGCGCAGCTGCGAGCATCAGCGCCGATGATTGACATCCCTTGGCATGACTCGATTGGTTAACCTCGACGGCACCGTGGATTCTGAACTATAGTTAAGAGCAGGGAAGGCGGGACTTGCCCGTAATATTAGAATTAATAAAATGACTTATTTTATATCAACATTTAAGGCCAGGAGGTCAATTTAACACATTTCCTAAAATTTGTAATTCATTTAGAGTTACAGACTATCACTTTAAAACCCATTTTTATGTGACAAGAGCTGCGGTGATAGTGTCTATACTGGCTCACGGTCTATGGAGGGAGAAGATTTGTTCGCCCCGCTGCCTGCTCCCGCGCAGTTTGCCCACACAAACCCTTTTGTTGGAGCCACAAGTCACACGGGAGGTTTTGTACATAGCACGCCAGCTTCGTACAACCCAGCTGCATGTACCCTCCCCTTCCAGAGTCTATATATTAATCCACCAAGGACTGTGACATATCAAAATCCCATACAGCCCCAACCAGATCACTCATCCCCACATAAGAGCCACTTCGGGTCCCGGAGGACCTCATCTTCAGAGAACGATGACGATTGTGACTTTAAAGAAGCTATACCCGATTTTTTTTCTAAGTAGTTCATAAAAATGCTTTTTACTACATACAATTTGTATCATAATACATAATTTAATTGAAAACTTGAGGTCATTGATTCAGCTGTGTAAGAATTACTAGCAGTGAAAAGTGCTGAGTAGAGTCTGAGCGGGCCGCTCGTTCTCCTCCGCTCACAGAACGAGCAGCGACCAGCCTGCGTCCTCTAGCCTCTACAGCCTGTGTCCTCTAGTCTCTACAGCGCTGCTCAACACCAGGGCTTCGACTTCAAAATTCCAATATAATTCTAAAATAAAAAATATATACATATTTGAACAAATATTAGACAACCCTTATAATTAGAAATGTATTTAATGACTGCAAATAAAATAGTTAGCTCCCAAAGGTTTCACCGGGACGTGCTAGGCAGGTAACAGCTAAGCTAGCTAGCTGTTTCATGGTAACTTCCGGGTTTTTCGCGATCACTTTTTGTCACTTTAAAACAGTATTTTTGTCATGAAAACGTTGACAGCAAATTCTGAAATCGTCCGTGCATGTGTGTTAAGGATGTATATGTATACTGTATTGTCTGATTGACGTTTAATGGTGTTGATTGATTGATATGTAGTTGTTTATTGAGCGTGGCTAGCTCCGCTAGCTTCTCTACACAGACAAGTGTGCAGAAAAACTGCACAATGTAGTGACAGGCGCTGATAGTAAAGTAATAGCAGTATTTTACACACCTGAATTACAAACAGATTGCATTGGGGCTGCGGTCATTATTGGTTTGAGAGTTCTGTTATCAAGAAAAAATGATCGGAAGAATTGCATTCGAGTCAATGGAGTGCTGCTGCTGTGAGGAGCTGTATAATAAATAAATAATAATTAAATATTAGAATATATTCTAATGTTTAATTTAATACATCCGGACGCGAAACTAATGGTATTCTTTTACTTATATATTGTGTTAGCAGTGCATTGCTTTAGTACCATTTCATCAGTGATTGTTGCCCAGCTTACAAGTTGCGCTAATGCTAATGCTAGCATACGTATCAGATCGCAAATAAAACTAGGTGGCTCCGTGTTATGAGAGCGTAAGGGAAATGAGAAGCCATTGAGTGAGTTGGGGGGCGGTGCTAAACATTCAAACATTGCAGAAACGGGTATAGCGCCTTTAAAGAGAGGGTCCCCACTCTACTCCCTGGGCAGTATGATGGAAGTACACCATGGAGAGAGTTTATGCACAAATTTGACCACACTGGTCAGCTAAAACAATGGCGGTTCAGTTGAAATTCTGCTTGGTTGGAGCTGCAGGGGCCATCGTTCACCGGAATCCACGCTCATCGAAATGGGACTATCAGCGGCTACTACAGGAGCTGGAGAGCGCGTACGGCCCTTCCTCCGATCATGCAGCAGCGGTTGCAGTGGAACTGAGGCAGAGAATACGCCAGGCTGGTGAGGCGTTGCATGTTTTCCGGGACGATATTTATGGAAAAGTGGCTGTGGCCTATGGTGACAGATCCGAGAGGGAGCAGGATGCTATTGCTGTTGAAGTTTTCACAAATGGTTTGGGCGATGCCGATATTATTCAAAAACTGCTGGAAACTCGCCCGTCCACACTGGCGAGAGCTTATGAAATAGCTCATCGCCATGAAACAACGAAGAGAGCTGCATCATACGTCACAAGCATCATGCAGCCTGGGCCCCGCACTGCTGTCGTACGGGAGACTGAGGCTGCTCCTGCTACACCACCGCCAGACCCCGCGCCAAACTGATATGTTCCAACCACACCCTTAAAGACACAAAACCAGCATAAAAACTAAGACTGACGTCCGCTGTCATAATTGCAATGGCTGGGGACACATACGCAATCAGTGCTCCTCCCCCCACAGAACAGGCAGGACTGCTAGACCACCCGCACCTAGCACTCCCCGTGAAAGCTCACAACCCACCATAATTCATCTCAAAGCCAATAATCGTGAAATGAGCATCCATTTACGCATATTCGAGCTGGACGTGTGTGCTGTTTTGGACACTGGGGCTCGTAGAAGCGTGCTGCCTTCATGCCATTACAATGCCATTCACAGAGGCATGAGGCCCCATCTGAGCTGATCTACAGTAGAGACTTTGATTGGAGTGGGACCTGGTGATGTTCCGGTGCTGGGTGAAACCAAGAAGGACTATGGGAAAAAGCTGGAGCAGAAGCTGGCCCAGGGAAACGCCCGCGACGTGTGGAGAGGCCTAAAGAACATCTCCGGCTTTGGACAGAGTGCCAGAGGAACAGCGGATGGAAACCAGCACCGGGCGGATGAATTTAACCAGTACTTCAACCGGTTTCATTCTCCCCCCTCTCCATCTGCCCCCCCTCCCGCCCCCACCTCTTCACACGTCCCCAGCCCAGTGGACACCGCCCAGTGGACACTGCCTCCAGCTGCCCCGGGCCCTCCTGCCCCCGCGTCCCCAGCCTCCACCTCGGACAGCCCGGACAGGAGTATTTGGTCAAAGGCACTGTGCACCTTGATGAAGCTATACAAGGAGACATGATGCTGAGCCCTACAAAAGGTTTTGTTGAGAAACACAAAGTGCTCATCGCTAGAGTCCTTGTCCATGCTCATCACACCATATATATGAGATATCTCACGTGACGTCACGATGCCTCGAACTCGCGGGGCATCCGCCATACTGGAGGACAAGCAAACGCTGTATGATAGTGGCGTGCACCCGGGACCGCATAAACATGTTCAAAATGTTTGCCGTTTTTGGCTGCAGCAAAAGGAGAGACAGGGAACATAAGTTGTGTTACCGACTGCCAGCCGTCCTTACTTCACACGGCTCAAAAACAGAAGAAATCTCAAAGAAACGAGAGAGAAATGGCACAACCATACGCAACAACAAAAAACTAATAGCCCCCAGAGCGCCCGAATATGCTCGGATCATTTCATTTCTGCTAAGTAAAATCAATTTGATGGCGGATTTAGTGTTATTCCGAAACAAACAGAAGTTTAAGGATAAAACATATCTGTCTGACTGCAACGTGGGGTTTTCTGTTCACGTTTTCATGAAAAAACACTGTTTTAATGCGACAATATGCGACCGCGGTAAACCTGGATGTAACGATAAACATTAATAATACATTTTAGGATGCATTTCCAGAGGATCTGATTCATGAATTTAGGTTGAGTATATATTTGGGTCACTAACTGCTGAAGTTTCAAATTCTCTGTTCAGTTTTCATGTAGTTCGAGAGAGTTCTAGTTTTGAACGTCCAGTTATAGATAGCTAGCAGGGCTGTTACTCGCCGAGGTTGTCCTCCAGTATGGCTGCCGTGGCTGCTAGTCACGTGACCGTAGGATCCCTCTATATAATCTCCTGTACACCTACAGGAGGAGAGCCTTTTGACTACAAAACAGACAAGATTTACATGGTTTTCAATGGGAGCAAAACGGAGTTGTCCCATCTCTGCTCATAAACTACAGACAGTAATGCGCTGCAGTGCGTGTGTCTATACTTTATGTCAAATGTAAACGGTGTAAACTTTGTCGCTAACTCACCCTGTGTTTTCATCACGACTCGGGCACATGTGAAAAGCACCAGCTCACAGTGTCGCACCGCAACCATAGACTGTATATATTAATGGACAGAGTCACGCCTATCTCCGCCGTTCATAGGAGTTGGCCATGAAAAGTGCTTTCATGGAGCAATCCAAGATGGCCGCGAGTGGTCCCGCCCACAAGAAAATTGTGAAAAAACGCATCTGCGCATGCGTCAGCCGGCGCAACTCCATTCATTTGAACGAGAGACTTCAAAAATTCCCCGCGAGTAAACGAGAGTGGACCAAAAAAATCCACCCCCCTCAGCATTGACACACATGTGGAACGGAGCTTTGGGCCAAGAGCCAACTTTTGGTCCATCCTGTAAAGACGTTTTTGAGAGGTCTGCTAATGCTATATGTTAGCATTGGCTAGTTCTTCTTCTGGGTCCACCCCCATCGGCCCGGGGTGGTATTGCAAGCATGTCAGCGCACGTCATTTTGGCCACTTTTGAGCTGGGACCCTCCCCCACTGACCGCAACACGAGTCGGGGTGCGTTCACAGACAGTGGAAACCGTAGGAATTTTTAGATTTCGGCGGAAAAAGTGCGAGAATACAGGAGGGAGGAACTTTCTCTCGTTGCGTTTCAAAAGAGAAAACAGATTCCAACGTTCATAGTGATGTCTGCCGTTCATGACACATAAAATGAACTAATTCACGTTCAAGTTCTTTTTTTAAAAAATTGTTGCGTTCAGTTCAACGTTCACAAAAAAATGAGCGTGTTCAATGAACGCGTTCTTTTGAACTCGTTCACACACAACATTGGAGATGAGGCATCAGCTTCACTGAGATGTTGCCTCAGGAAGATTTGGAGGAGCGGCGGCGTCTTTGGCCACTGCCTGAACAGGCCGCAGGGCTGGTAAACGGCCCTTTTTTAGACTAACACATCCATGGACGTCGTGTGGAAGAAAAAAGACCGAATATCAGGTAAAATGAGACTTTTTGGTGATGACTTTTGTGCGGTGTGGGAGCTCTAGAGCTGTTTTTTTAGTCTACGCATTAACATTTTACTTATTTATTTTTCTCCAAGAGCCAACAGTCGTGTTGTTTATGACACGTCCCAATCATGTTGTTCATGTATGTTTATATTTGTGTTTGCTGTTTCAGATTCCTCACTTCTTCTTTTCTTTTTGAATGCTGGATAAAGTGTGTTTTCTTCTTGCAGCTTGTCTTAGTCCTTTTGTCGTCTGTGGCTGGATTTTCCTTCTGTGTTTGTGATAAAACACGTTCAGGGAAGAAGGGCGGCGAGGGTGAGCATGAAGCCTATCCCCAAATCTTCTCCAGCAGAGAATCCACTGAAGCAGAGGAAGCAGCCTGATAAGTGCAGTAGAATCATTGTTTTCTGGATCTAAACATTCAACAACATCAGATATTGGTCGATGAGCAGAATGGATTTAGGAAGAACAGAGCATTGAGCACATCTATGTTCTGTCCTCTGTGGTGCGAGCCAGACTGCAGCAAAACTAAACTACTTTGTTTTGATGATTGAAGCCTTTGATTGGATGAACAGTTTCTGGAATATGTAAGGGATAATTATGTATTTATTTTATTATTATTATTCATTATTTTCCGATAATGACCTGTGTACTATACATTATCCCACTTATTATACGGCTTTGTACCAACAGAACACACAAAATAAACTTCAGTCCACTCTTTGGAATGCCAAATGGTTTTTTTAATGACAGAAAATAAAATAGTTTCCAAAGGCTTTCCCGTAGCTATGTGAATAATAGTTAGACACTCTCGAACTGCAGGAAAACTGAACAAAAAATTCTGAACATCAGCGGTGTGTGACCCAAACATAAACCTAACCTAAATCCATGATTCGATCTTCTGCCAATGTTCTTGAATTTACTTCTGGGATTTTCGTGATCGCGTTTTCTCGCATTAAAATAGTATATTTGTCATGAATACTGTAATGACAGTTTTTAGAGTAATCACATTAAAACCAGCCGCAGCAAATACACGGACGTAAAAGGCCTTTTCAATGCAGAGACGACCTTCTGACGCCATGCTGAGCTTTGTGAAGGTCCCTGCTGTCTGTCACACCCTTGTGTCTTTCGCATCTCGCATCTGTATGCTTGCATTTCTACCATTGTCTGTCTGTTCGCACCTCCATGCCCTGTGTCTGATTGCCTCACCCCAGGGGCATGGCGCCTGCGCTTCCTATGCGCCTCCTTCACCGGTGGCCCCCTCCCATCTGTTGTGGGCGTGACTGTCTTTCATGTGATGTCTATGTAAACAGGAAGCCTGAGCTCTGCGAGCCAGAGCTGAGTATGCTGCCTTTTGGATATGCTAGCTCTCCGCACGTGTGTTACAATAAACTTACGCTCCTGATTTAAGACAAATACTTTTGGGCTTTCTCCTTGCTTTGGGGTATGTAATTCTATAACAATTTGGCGTTGCTGGCATGTCTTGGCATGGATCCTTTCGGCGGGGACGAGCGGCCGCGTTTGGCCGACCTGGAAACAACACCAGCCTCTGCTCTATTTGGAGACAAAGGAGGGCGCGCTCGTCCCGCGCATGGAAGCAATCTTTTGCCACACAAGACCAAAAAGAACCTAATTTGGTGAGTTTTGTCTTTTCATCTGCGTAACGAGCACTTAAGTGTACACGGGGATTTGTTTATTTATGTATTTTTGGGGTATTTCATGCATTGCCACAGCATAGACTGTGTGCGGGATTTTTGGGGGTATTTTGTTCTAGATTGAAGCTAGCGGCTGCGCGTTAGTATCGCTCTGTAAGCGACCCTGGAATCTCTAAGTGTCTTCAGCCAGAACCGCTTCGTTTCAAGAACGCGCGCTCGTTGGGTAGATAGAACCCACGGGGGGGGAACGGAGCGCCCCAAAGTGGGTAAGAGCAGGGAGAGACTAAGCGGGTTAGGCCCATTGTTCTGTACGAGAAAATGGGAAAATCAATCTAGAGATGCCACACCGAGGGGAAGGTTAACGTCCCCCGTTACAATGACAATGGAAAAACGATTCGGATCTAAAGCTATGGAGGCTCTATGTCTCCGAATCAACTACGCACCTTGCGTGATAATTTAGAAGAAGAAGGGAAGAAAAAATATACTTGGTTTTAAGAATATCACGGTAAAAGACGTTAGAGAAAGAAATATGTAAAAACAATAGCTCCTCCGCTTTTCACCGAAGCGGAGAACACACAGGCGGACACACAGGCGG